ATCCTGGGAGGAAAAATTCAATCTAGAGAGGAACAGTCAGGGAACGAGGTCTCACAACAAATGCGTTGTAAACGTTGCAGATGGATCCAGAAAAGTACCAAATCCATTGTCCTTTAGAAGCTTGGTGATTTGATTGCTCCATATCGGATAGTTTTCTGATGAGAGTGGATGAGGAATGAGGGATTTGAGATTAGATATAACGAATTTAAGAGAGGGATTGATGAGAGATTTTTTAGAAATAACACCTGAAATGTTTCTGGTGTTTGAAGAGGCGGAAGCCGAGCTCGGCATGAGAGATCCTCAGGAGGAACAGACTCCTGATACCATGAAGAGATTCAAGAACCTGGGAGAAGAGTATCGGACAGTACAATAGAGAAGAAGAATGATATTCATTATTTTGTAGAAGGTGTACAAGAGATCTATATATAGATAATACAACATGATTAAGACACGTGTCGTTCTCTTATAGAATAGCAAGAAATACAGTTAACTAAGCTAATTTATTTCTGGTCTAATAGTATCCCTAACTTTTTCTGAAGAATTAAAATAAGTCTTCGACTATATAAAAGTTCTAATTTGAACATTTGACTCTTTAAATAGAGACCAAATGAGTTCTTCCGGGGATCATTTAGGTCCCTATTTAAAAGTCAAGTAAAATGGTGACTTTTAAATAAGATGATGTCATATTGATCTTTGGTAAAGTGTTTGGGGCCATTTTAATTCTTATTTGAAGACTTCATTACCTTATTTATCAATACTGTTTTCAATGTTCTAACTTTAGTATATCGCAGCAGATTATTAGCAATGGGAGGTATAAGAGCATAGTGCATAGGGCCATGGTTAGCAGCGAGAGCACGAGGATTTCAGTTGCGACTCAGGTAACACCTCCTATTGAAAATGTTACTTTTGCTCCTGCGCCAAAGTTGCTTGAAAGATCTGATTGCTCTACTATATTTCGTGGCATCACATTCAAAGAGCTCCTTGCATTAAAATATCAGCACAAATCGATGAATTCTATTATGGATTTTATAAAGGTGTGATTTGTAATATAAAATTATAAATCAAAATAATGTTGTGAGGTAGTATGAATTTCTATGAGATATTATAAAGAACAATATGATGAAATCGAATGTAACCTATAAAGCATTATTATGTATAAAAAACTTCCTCAGCTATGTTATGTCAACAAAATGTATTACCATGTGTGGGTATGAGGGGGCTATCATCCGCAGATTATTATTGTAATTTGTAAGTGTGAATCTGCCATTATTGTTGCAACTATTTTGATAATTGTTGGAAATAGTTGTGGATTATGCATAATATTGAGATTGTATTAGATGTGATTTGTGCTATTAAGGTTTCGTTTGGGACGACTTTCTTATTGCAGTAGATTTATAA